CTGTGCCTGGGACATAATAGATGCTCAGCACACAGTTGTTGAATTGAATTGCATCACTGGATCTTCCCAAACCCTATGAAGCAGATACTCATGTTATCCTTATTTTATGGAGGAACGAGCTGAGGCATCAAGTTTTCTTTCTTTGTTCAAGGTCACCCAGCCAGGACTCAAACCCAATTTCACCCAAGAGCCCTCGCTCTTAAGTAAGTAGGTGGGAAGGATGCCACATCTCGTCAACTTTCTCCCTCTCAGTCGGAGCAGAAGTTGGGGCTGGAAAGTTGTAATAGAAAAAAAGACGATGGTCCAGCCTTTGTTCCTCTTCTGCAGAGCTCACCTCCTATCCTGATCCATTCCTTTCCTGCCTGGCCCCAAAGCCCGTTCATCCAATCTCATCTTCATCCTCATCTTCTCCATCCCCAGCCCCATAAGCATCAGTCCCACCTGATTTCTTCTATAATCTTGTTTCATTCTCATCCTCACCCTTCTCCCTGTGCAGTAGGGCTTGTATTGGGCTTCGTCCCAGGGCCTAAGACCAACGTCTCTGTGACCCAGAGTAGAGAAGGTTTACTTTCTTTTGCACTGTTCACATAAAAATTTCCACTAGTTTCCTGAGTCATCTTCCCCCAGTCCTCTTTCTCTGGAACATTTTTGCAGCCTCCCTTGTTTACATATTTTGTAGAGTCTAATCTCTAACCAGCACACACTTAAGCACTTGATGACCTCACTTTCTCAACCCAAGGGCGTGTTGCCTGATGGCTGCATGATCCTGCCTTCCAGCCCACTTCCCTGAGAGAGTTGGTCACAAGGCCGCAGGAAAGGTGGGACCAGTATAGGGTAGCAAATGCCCATGCTAAAGACAATGTTGCCCTCTCTGCAAGTCCTTGACTTTTATCCCCCTCATTCAGTGGCTCTCTGGGAATCTGTACAGGGTTGAACAAAGCAGCCAGATCACGCGAATACGTGCCTAGGGCTGACACCTAGAACCTGGCAGGGGTGTGGAGTCAGGGCTGAGGCCAGGCAGGCTGAGTGCTACCCGAGGCTACTCAAGATCATGACGGCATGTTCCTCTGTCCAGCGTGGCATTGCCTGGAGTCTGGGCAAGAGTTAGCTGGAGATATATCTTCAGTGATCACACAGTCTTCAGGAGACCCTCACTTGGGCCCTACTGGGGCAGGGAGGTCAGGGTTGGGAAGGGAGTGCCATGGAAAATCATGACAGCAATATGAATGCCATTCTCCAGTCTAGCAAGGATAGACGGATTAGGATGGGACAGATAAATATTTTGAGCAGTTTTTAGAAAAGAATAGGAAGGCACTGATGGGTCAGATTTGGGAATAAACCTAAGGCTAAGACCGAAGGGGCTGGAATTCAGGATTAATCACTGATTGTGTACTTGGTGAGGGGTAGGAGGACTGGAAGCCTGGAAGCCTGAAGCTATTGGTAAATAAGTGGACTAATACTCACTGCACGCTGCAATTGTATAATGCATTCTCATACCTTTTTTCTTTTTTTTTTCAAGCAAACTTTATTGCTCCCTCAGCAAACAAAGATTACGATTGTTCAGTTCTTGAGGTGGCCCTCCAAGTCCCCAGAACAGAAAGTGGGTTGCTAACGCAGTAAAAACCCCACAGAGGAAGTCTTCTGACCATCCTTAAGCATGGCGGCAGTCAAAGGACAAGGGAGATCCTTCCAGCAGAAAGGCTCTGGAGCATCCAGATAGGCTGACTGAGGAGCCTATTCCACAGCAAGAGCAGGGAGCCAACAGAGATCTCACTGTTCTATTTATCAGCCTAGAGGATGTTACTTTCTCCTCCATAACTCACTTTTTTTTTTATTTATTTCAGCATATTATGGGGGTAAAAATGTTTAGGTTACATATATTGCCCTTGCCCCACCTGAGTCAGAGCTTCAAGCATGTCCATCCCCCAGACTGTGCACACTGCACCCATTAGGTGTGTATATACCCATCCCCTCCTCCCCTTCCCGTCTGCCCGACACCCGATGAACATTATTACTATATGTGCAGTTAAGTGCTGATCAGTTAATACCAATTTGATGGTGAGTACATGTGGTGCTTGTTTTTCCATTCTTGGGATACTTCACTTGGTAGAATGGGTTCCAGCTCCATCCAGGATAATACAAGAGGTTTTATATCACCATTGTTGTTTGTGGCTGAGTAGAACTCCATTCTCATACCTTTTTTCATCTGTATAATTGTCTGGGCCCATATCACTACCTCACTTCTCAATACCTTCACAGACATTTGAATAAGGCTCAGAGAAGTTAAGGGATTTTCATCTGTGGCTATTTATGGTAAAATTGGTACTAGAATCCAGGTCTCTTAGCTCCTAATTTGGTGTTCTTCCAACTTTGTCAGAGGGATACCTTCAACATAGAGGGTTGGGACCCAGAGGCATTTAGCCTGCTGAAGAGGTAGGGTAGGCCCAATGAGGAGAGGAGCCTGGTGCAGGGATGTGGAGATGGCCTGAAACTCTCCCTCCACAGGTCCTACTAGAGAAAGAACTCTATGACCTAGCACAGCGGTCCCCAACATTTTGGCACCAGAGACAGGTTTCATGGAAGATAATTTTTCCACAAACTGGAGTGGGGGGGGTGGTTTGGGATGATTCAAGCACATTACATTTATTGTGCACTTTATTTCTATTATTATTATGTTGTCACTTGCCACTCACTGATAGGGTTTTGAGATGAGTCTTCAAGCAATTTATTTATTATGGTCTCTGTGCAGTCAAACCTCTCTGCTAATGACAATCTATATTTGCAGCCACTCCCCAGTGCTAGCATCACCGCCTCAGCTCCACCTCAGATCATCAGGCATTAGATTCTCATAAGCAGTGCGCAACCTGATCCCTCACATAGGCAATTTACAGTAGGGTTTATGTTCCTGTGAGAATCCAATGCCACTGCTGCTCTGACAGGAGGTGGAGTTCAGGCAGTGATGCGAGCAATGGGGAGCAGCTGTAAATACAGATGAAGCTTCACTCACTTGCGCACTGCTCACCTCCTGTTGTGTGGCCCAGTTCCTAACAGGCCACAGCCTGGGGGTACTGGTCCACGGCCCAGGGGTTGGGGACTGCAGACCTAGCAATTCCACTCCTAGATATATACCCAAGAGAAATGAGTGCATTATGGCCATCAAAAGATAGGCACAAGAATGTTCATTGCATTTTTATTGATATTCACCCAGAACTAGAAACACCCCAAATGATCATCAACAGAAGAAATGATACACTATGGTACATCTCCACAGTGAATACTACTCAGCAATAACAAGGAACTACTGACACACACAGCAGCACGGATGAATCACAAAGGCGTTATGGTGAATGAAAAAGGCCAGTCTTAAAAAGACACATTCAGTGTGACCAAAACTGGAGTGATGGAAATCACATCAGTGGTTGCTTCTAGGAGTTGGGGGACACTGGCTGGAAGGGGGTACAAGGGAAGTCTTTGGGGTGATGGATATGTTAAAATGTTCTATGTCTCTACCTGGGTGGTGGTAAAACATATACATGATGACTTTAACATCTGTACACTTTACTGTATACAAATTGTACCTCAATTTAAAATACTTTACAGCTCAGCTTTTTTTTTTTTTTTTTTTTTTTTGAGACATAGTCTCACACTGTTGCCCGGGCTAGAGTGCCGTGGCATCAGCCTAGCTTACAGCAACCTCAAACTCCTGGGCTCAAGTGATCCTCCTGCCTCAGCTTCCCAAGTAGCTGGGACTACAGGCACGTGTCACCATGCCCGGCTAATTTTTTCTATATATATATATTTTTTTTATTTCAGCATATTATGGGGTTCAGATGTTTAGGTTACGTGTGTTGCCCTTGGTTCCCCCCACCAAGTCCGTGTTTCAAATATGTCCATCCTTCGGGTAGTGCTTTTCTATATATTTTTAGCTGTCAATTTCTTTCTATTTTTGGTAGAGACGGGGTCTCCCTCTTGCTCAGGCTGGGTTCGAACTCCTGAGCTCAAACGATCCACCCGCCTCGGCCTCCGAGAGTGCTAGGATTACAGGCGTGAGCCACCGCGCCCAGCCTACAGCTCAGCTTTTTAGGAAAGAGCCAGATGAAGAAGGAAAAGGAAGGGTCTTAAAGAGCCAAGTACAGAGGTGACGGCCCAGCATGGCTCCTGTGTAAGGTGGCCAGTTGTCCTGATCTGCCTGGAACTGAGGGGTTTCCTGGGACCGGAGACTTCAGTGCTAAAACTGGGAGAGTGCTGGTCAAACTGGGGCAGCTGGCCACCCAACTCCTGTGGAAGTGGGGAACTGAGAGGGAACTTTGACTGTCTGGCAGAGGGGCTGGACTGCCTTAGTCCCAGAGCCCGGGAACTGCTCCAGTGGGGTCAGACAGGGGCCTGCCAAGGGATCAGGGCATCACTGACCTCAAGAACATCAGGGCTGGGGAGGCTACTTTGGCCCCTGGTGCCCCCCTCAAGGTTCCTGACCCTCTAGGAGCAGCAAGGGGTAGGAGTAGTGCTGCTCCTCCTTGGAGCTGGAGGGAAAAGGCTCAGAGACTGAGTTGAGGCAGTTGGGACATTGAGGTTCTAAGCGTCACAGCTTCTGTGCTGGGCTCTGAGGAGATTCTCACTCAGCAGTATCCCCACCCCATCCTTCCTAAAATGCCTGATCCAAGAAAATACCAAAGCAATACATTGATTTCATGGAAGTCAAATGGAGACATGAGGACCTACTGAACACAAACACCAGTGTATCTCTCCACCCTCACAGTGGTCACAAGCAGGCACTGTCCCTGTCCCCTCCCCACAGCTGCCATGGCTTGAGCTGGGGGTGGGGGATGGCCTGCTCTATCTTCTCAGAGCAGGGACAGATGGGGCAATGAGGGAGGGGCTCTCCAGTCCTCTAGCTAAGGCCCTAGGTGGATTCTGACAGGGAAATTGCCAGCAGGGCTGGGCGACTCAGGGCCACAGGGGACAAGGCAGGAGGCTGCAAGCAGGAGTCGAGGAGGGCAGGCTCAGAAGTTCTCGTAGTGGTGCATGAAGTGGGCTTGGTCCTGTTTGTTGATGAGCTGACAGGCCTTCTCTACGTTCTTGGTCATTCCTGGCGGGCCACAGCTGAACACCCCGATCTTGCGCACCTGTCAGGGGATTGGAGTGAGGAGAGGCCTGCCGCCTTGGGACGCTCACTCTCTGGGCAAAAGCTGCTTCTGGAGCCTGGCTGGAATGACCAGGGCTTCCCGTCCAGGCCCTGAGAAGGAGGCTTGAGCTGTGGTGGGGGACGTTGATGTCTACCTCCAACACTCTACCCCAGCCTGGGCCAGCGTGGGGGTGGGGGCTCTCTGCCCAGGAGAGAGATGCAGGGTGCTTGAGAGTTAGGACGTCCTGGTGGGGGAAGGCAAGAGTCCTGGGGTGGGAGGGGTGGGACTGACCTGTGGGTGGACCTCCTGCAGGGAGTTGAAGAAGAGCTCAAAAGGGGGGCGGCCAAAGTGGGTGACAGAGCGCAGGCCCGTGAACAGACTCCGGTTCAGCACCTTCTGGAAGTGCCGCTCGCAGATATACTGAGGGCATAGGGCAGGTCAGGCCCAGGACCATGAGGGGCAGTGCCCAGCCCGAGCCATCCCACACATAGCCCAGAAGACAGAGACTAGGATCGGCTTGGAGCTGGAGGCTGAGGGTCAGGGCAACCAGCTCTGTGCTTCCTGCCAGCTGAGCCTGGCTGTCCACTCACCCGCCCTGGCCAACTGGCCTTACTCTGCCAACCCGCCTACCTGCCAACCTGCCCTGCCTGGCCAGCCCCGACGTACCAGCATGGTGGTCCTGAGGTCAAACTTCTCGGCCAGCTGGGTGATGTAGATGTGCACAGACACCAGGTCCTGGTGGTCATTCTCCTCCACCTCTCGGATGATGTCAGCCAGCCACTCAAACTGCCGCTGGGTCCGCGTCACCCAGATGAAGTAGATCTGGGGACACACAGCTGGAGCTCGAGACCCAGCTCAGCTCACGCTCCCTACATCCCAGGTGCCTTCACCTGAGACGCTGGGAAGCCCCAGACCACCCACAGACACCAAAGCTCTGGCAGGACCTGCCAGCCTGACCCCAGGCTTCCAACTGGCAGGTCCCAAAGCAGAGGCTCTTCTGGCTACACCTCCAACCCTCCCTCAAAGTTTGACCTCTCAACCACTGCATGTGAATGGCCCCTTCAGACCCAGGCCTGGAGCCAGGAGCTTCCTCTCAACCTCCTTTGCTCCACAGCTAGGCTGCCTGTCCCCCATTTCAAGAATAGAGGAGGGACACTCACCTTTTTACAGAGCATTTGGCTGCCTAAGGATGACTTGAAGACCAGGTCTTTGAGGATAGAGGCAAAGGGGGTGACCCCAATGCCCCCTCCCACCAGGACTGACACCTCAAACTTATGCCACTCCTGGTGGCCCTCTCCAAATGGTCCATCGAGGTACAGCTGCCAAGAGAGGGAGAGATGAGATGAGCACAGCCCTGCCCCAGTTTTGAGGTCAGAAATGGGGGGACTGGCAGAGGGAGGATACAGAGCACTCTAGCCTCTTCTGAGCACCCCAGCCCTTTCCTAGCCTGCCCCTGGAGTGCCTGGAGCTTCTAGTCTCAGGATGGAGGAAGGCAGGGACCCTCTGCCAATGTCAGAGGCCCCAAAATGGGTTCCCAGTGATGGGCACCTTTGGGTATGTGGCATAGCCGTTGCCCTGCAGGTTTGAGTAGGTCTCTCTGAGGCGAATGGTCCAGGGCCCCACTGCCCGGATGTGCAGGCTGAGAGTGTCCTCATGGGGTGCGGAGGTCAGCGTGAAGGGATGGTACTCAGTGGTCCCCAGAGCCAGGCAGGCGATCCGCACCCACTGCCCTGACTTGTATTCAAAGCCCTGGGGCCGCTGGAACTGCAGGTGGGTCACTCCTGGGGGTCATGGGCAGGGAACAGCACAGATCAGAAGGCCTGCTCCTGGGACCTGAGGACTCTCCACACTCCTGAGGCCCAGGAGTGGTCACATGGTCTGACCAAGTGGGGCCCCTGGGGCTGGGAGTAGGAGGGTCCCTTTCCCTTTTCCTGGGTAACACAGGAGCTGGGCTTCTCTGCTCCCCTGTTCCAGCCCCTTTCCTCGTCTCTCCTTCCTCTTCCCACCAAAGGTCCAGGCCTCATTCCACTGCCCTGAATACCAACCTCCTGGATGAAGGGGCCTTTGGCTCCCCAGGGACCATCTCAGGGCTCACCAAACCGCCACCATTTGAGGGTCACTGTTGTGATGGGTCATATCTGCACACCTCTTGCACTATCACTTAGCTAATGTTTTTCTCTAAATTGACTTACTTTTTAAATTCAATTTATCTTGACAGAAAGCTTTATCACTAATGTAAGTAGAAAGCCAGTTTTCATGTGCTCTAAGTGGAAAGCAACATGTTTTGTCACCAAATTTTAGCCAGATCCTGTTTATTGCCTGGCCACAGCTTGCTTGGCCTCAGCCCGCTCTCTCTTTGTTGAAAAAGATTAGCAAATGCTGGAGCGTAGAAAGGCATCCCAACGCCACTCTGAGACCTTGTTCTTAAGTAATCTTGATTGAAATAAAACTGACATGAGATGAGTTTTCTTACAATGTGAGTCTTGCAACACCTCAAATCATGTTTGCCACTCTCCATGGTGAGACCAATCCACATTTTGGCCAACACTGATTCTCAACCACAGACTGGCAATCTAGGCCATTTGCCTGTCTCTGAGAGAAGGGATGGGAGAGAGATATATGGCCTCCTGCCCTGCACTTCCCCTGCCCCCAGGCCACACATGTGGGGGTCTTTCTCATCCTCAAACCCTCTGAATGCACTTTCAGCTGCCTCTTCTTAGTCTCCAAGTCTCCTGGGAGCCAAGCATAACCCTTCCTGGGTCTGCATTTCCATCAGCAAAGCTCCAGGAGTCCCTGAGTGGGTGTCAGAGGCAATGAGGGGGCTCAGAAGGCCTGGTGAGCTATCTCCCGCATCTGAGGGGTCTACCTCTCATGCTCCCCAGCTGGGCCAGGCTGATACCTGAAGGCAGCAACTCGGCCTTCACCACGCTGATCTCCACCTTCTTCCGGCTCAGGCTCACCAGCTTGTCCCCCCCATAGATGAGCGCCGGGACCAGGAAGTAGATGTGGAAAGATGGAAGCTGGATCAGGGCGTAGCTGCCGTGGATGATGAGCTAGAGACATGGTCAGTCAGTACCGCTCAGACCCAGCCAGGCCTCCACCCTGCACCCCCTTGCCGAGGCATTAGGCCTGGGCGGGGTGGATTTGGCTGGCATAGGCTCCAGGGTCTGGGTGTCAGATCTCAGGGTCTCAGTCTGAGATCTTGGGTCCAATTCTCCCTGCTCCCTCCTTCACTGCCCCCACTCCTGCCCACATCCTGAGTGCCCTGCTCCACAGGCTGGCCACGCCCAAAGAAGTCCCTCACTAGGATGTAGAGCACGACGTAGAGGTGGTGAGTCAGCCAGAAGCCCCGGAAGCTGCGGCGGCGGAAATGGTGGGAGGCGAAGACGTACATGATGGCCAGGACCAGGAGCAGCAGCACCCCTGACGTACCTGGGGGCAGGAGGACAGAGTCAGCGAGTAGTCTTAGGAGTTCAGCCCAGGCTGAAAACATAACAGAGCATCCCCTTACTCTGTCCTCCTTCCTCTATCATCCCTCTGGGGCCCCCAGAACAGCTTTCCTGGAGGTGCTAGAGCCATGGCTTGTCCTGCAGGCTAGAAAGGAATCCCATGGCCACTGTAGACAACCGTGTACTTGTGGCGAGATGGAGATAAAAGCAGAAGTCCTCAGACAGAACCCCCAGATCCCACACACGGCCCCACTCCCTACCTGGGACGGTCTCGAAGAACCACACATAGAACTTCCAGGGAAGCTTAGACCTGTGGGGCAAAGACACATTGAGCCTCTGGCTGTGGCAGGAGGGGCTCTGCCTCTGTCTTCCACAGGATGACACCATTTCTGCTGGCCCTGACTGCTGAGGTTACCGGGCCTCCACCCAGGTGGCCAGAAACCCTTCCCAGGAACACAGCACACAGCCTCCCACGGTTCTATCCTCTGCACTCTCAGCAATCTTTCTCCTGTGTTACCCTGAACTCTCTCGCTATAGTTGGCCCTTGCTTCCCTGAGTGCTCGGCTCATTATTCTGTAAGCTCCATGAGCGCAGGGATTTTTGTTTTGTTCACTGTTCTTTCCCTAGGTTTAGAAAAATACCAGGCCCATAGTAAAGGCTCAATAAGCAGTTGTTGAATGACTGCATGTATCTTGACATCTCCACTCTCTGGCATCTGGATGGACACATGGGACACGCTCTGTAAGTGCCCAGTGAACAGATGGAAGGTGGAGACCATGAGCTGTGTAAAAGAGTCTCTGACTTCATCTCCCAAATGCCTTTTCTGGCAAATCACAGCCAGCTTCTTTCCTAAGGGCAAGAGGTCACCTTTCAGCTTCGCCGAGGGCACTAGCTTTGTGCCTTCACTCAGTGAGGAGCTGAGTGTCTGCGGCAATCTACTTTTCTATTACACCCAGGCCCACCCCAGGAGTCCCGGGAGAGACCTTCCCCAGAACTGACCCATCATTCACAAAGACGTTGGGGAATACGCAGGCCAGCAGGCTGAGGGGGCTGACGGAGAAGATGTAGATATTGACTGCGTGACCAGCACTGTGCAAAACTGAAAGAGACAGACCTTGTTGGAGATGCCAACCAGAGCCCAGTCTACCTCCAGCCCAAGGGAAGGAGGAGGCATGGGGAAGCGAGATGGAAGTGTGAGGAAGTGTAAGAACCCAAGGAGCTAGACCCAGGGGGCTGCAGCAAAGGGGAGGATGCCCAGGAGCCACGTACTGGCCAGGATGACAGCAGCCATGGCGATCCAGCGGTGGAAGTCCACGGCGGCGTCAAAGGGTATATAGTGGTTGAAGAAGGTCTCTCGCAGGAAGGTGATGAGGTTGCGGCACATGGTAAGCAGGATGTAGGAGTACATGAAGGAGATGCTGGCCGCCGTGCCCCGTGACAGGATGATGCCCACGTAGGTGGTCTCTGCAATCTCCGTGGGCGGCGAGGCAAAGGCATAGTCTGGGGCCGGAGTCGGGGTTGATCAGCATGGCACGACAGGCCTGAGTGCTGAGCCCACGTCACGTGCCGAGGATGGGAAGAGCAATCAGAGGGCTCTCCACTCCTCCCTGAGGGTCGAGGCCTGCTCCCTGCCCACTGCCCATGATCTGGAACTCTTACAGTAAGCACGCTCTGCAAACAGGCCGACACAGATGGCTGAGAACACGGCCACGCACACGATGTGCCTCCGGTAGTTCTCCACGAAGCGCTTGAACTGCTGCAGCTTCCGGGCCAGGAGGCCCCCCTGCATCTTCTCCTGCAGCGCCTCTGTGTACAGCCGGGAAGGGGGCCCCACCACCCTGCAGCAAGGGAAGGGCTCCCTAAATGCCAGCCCACGAAAGGTGACCTGGTGATCTGGGGGTGGAGTGGGGCCAGGATGAGGGGGGCCTCGCATCCCTTCCTTTACCTCCATCTTTACTTGCTCTGCCCACCCCCTCCTCTCTCTCCCACTACTCCGCCTCCTCCTGGTTGTTCTGTCCTTCCCTCTTCTTGCGCCCTACACAGGCCTCACTGCTGTGGCCAAAGCAGCAGGAGCCAGGGGACCCCTTACTACCATCCTGGTGTTGCTTCTGAGCCAGGTCCCGTGCTTGGAGAATGGGGTGCAGAGGTTGGGAGAGGATGAAAATCATTCGACATTATAGTCCCCTAGTTGGCTCAGGGACAAATAGAATGAGACTCAAGATGGTTCCTTATAAGTTGAGGAGGTATGGGTGGGGCCTAGAGACCGTGAGGCTTCTCTCGGTGTTTCCTTGGGCCCAGGGATCTGGGAAACACTCACTTTTTGCCAAACCTCTTCTTCAGCACAGGGGCTTCTGAGGCAGGGAGCCCCAGTCCCTCGGGACAGGAGCTGAGAAAAGGAAAATGGAGCCTATTCTCCCCCTTGTCTTTGCAGCCAGGAGAACTGCCAGGTCAGAGCTTGGGGTGGGGTGAGGGGTAGGGGGTTGCCTCTGCAACCAGGCAGGGGGCAAAGCAGAATGAATGAATATGATCTGGTCATCTGTTTTTTAGAATGAGTCCGGCCTGGAGTGACAGGGAGAGAGCCAGGCTCTAGAACAGCACGGGGTGAAATTTGGGCTAGATCTGAACATGGGCTAAGAGCTCATTTCAGAGGGCAAACATCTTCCTTCATTTCTCCGCAGGGGACCTATCCAAGAAGATCTCACAATGCCCCATTCCTGCCTGCTCACCGTCCCTCAGGAGTCCGAGTGATGAATGAAACTCGACTGCTGATGTTTTGTTTAAAGATGTCTCCAGAACCTGGAGAGGAGAACAAGTGGCTAGACTGGCGTTCCCATCAGGGCAGTGGGGTGGGATGGGAGGCTGCCCCACTTGTGAGAAGGCTGCGGGGCACTTGACAGTGGCTTGGTCTTGTCCAGATTTTTGGTTCCAGCCTTATTCCCCACCCTCCCCACGCTAAGCACCCACTGTACACAGGGCAGACAATGTGGCAACTTTGTGCAATTAGGAAAGGGGAGCCCTCCAGGTAGATTCAACCCTGCAGGTCCTTTGTGTAAAGAAAATAATGCCTCTTCCTCTGGCCAGATACATCCCAGACCAATGCCCATGGCTCTGAGCAGTGGGTAGGCTGAACTGCAGCCTGCTCCTTAACTTCAGGTCATCTTTGTTCAGTACACAACTTGCATACCTGTACATGCTGCCCCGATTACACATGCCTGGCTCTGTACCCAGCACCAAGGACTCAGAAGAATGAGACCTGGGTCTTGTCCACCAGGAACTCTCATTTTGAAGACACACCCCTCCCTGGCTCCAGCCTTCCTTACACACTCGCACACCTCCACGTCCACCTTTGACACAGAGCTGTGTGCTTCGGAGTTCACTGTCATGGTCCCGCAGCATGAAGTGGAAGTCCTCCCACGTTAGCTCCTCCTTGTCCTGGAAGCCCGACTCCCGGAACATGGACTCCACCACCTCGGCCAGCTGGGCCTTGGACAGGCAGTTGTTGGAGATCTCGATGAAGGATCTGGGAGAGGACCAGAGGCAGAGCAGCCTGTGGTGAGGTCAGGCTCGGGCAGATGCAGGGTGGGGCAGGCCCCAGATTATCTAATGTGGTTACCAGTGACCTGGGAAATGTCACTGAGAGGGTGTTCATCCAGCCTGCAGCTGACACTAAGCTGGGTGGGGTGGCCATGGGCTCAAAAGGCAGAATAGAACTGAAAGTGACCTTGACCAATTAGAGAAAGCAGCCCTCAAACAGGGGGGCATCTACAACTGGGACGAATATCCACCTAGTGCAAGGATATGTCCTCGGTATGCCAGGCTCTCTCTTGTGGCAGGCTCTCTGCCTACTCTCTTCTGTTGATGCCTTCCAGGCCACCCCTCGGGTCCCACTTTCACAGTCTGGCGGGGGTACCAGACAGCAGGGTGGTGGGGAGGGGGTGTAGCTGCACTGCTGTTGTTTCCTTGTGCCAACACCCTGGGGCACAGGCAGGAGTGTCTCCACGCCCAATCTGATGGCACCCACAGTGGCAGCTACAGTGGCCAAACTCTTTTCTTAGACTGTGCTTTGGGACAAAAATAAACAGACCATGCAAATCTGCGTGAGGCTAGCAGAAAAAAACCCGGACCCATATGGCACAGCAAGCACAGCCATCACATTGAAAACATCATCCCAGCAAGACTAAGCAAGATCCACAGAGTTATAGGGTGGGAAGGAGGGAGCTCAGCCCTTGGTGGCATGGACCCTCTCCTAGATCCCCTACAGAACCCCCAGGGCTGGGCCTATAATGACACCCCTAGTCAGGTACGGACTGTAATCAGCTTTGCCCATTTGGAAGCCCATGTCCAGTTGGGGTATCTGGGCTATAAGAGGGATGTGGCAGTTAAGGGACACACTTAATGCAATGGAAAGGCTTACAGGGACAGATAAGTTAAAAGAAACTGGGCTGTTTCATTCACTCTGTGTATTCATTTGCTCATTTATTTCATTTTGTCTTATTCAGTTAGCTACATATCGAATGTCCACTATGTGCTGCCAATCACAGTGCGGAGGAGGTAGATTCAACAGGGAACAAAGAGAGACATGAGCCCTGCCTTATGGCATAAAAGGGGGTGGTGTTAGCATTATCTTCAGGAACAAGAAGTCTATGATGCCAAAGCTGGTCTTTATTGGCACACCAAAACCAGTAATGGCTTAAGAAGCAAGATGATAGAAGGGTTGAAATATAGAGAAACTTTCCATGTTTCTCCTCCTGACTGTTATTGTGATTGATATTGGAAGATCAACCAACGTCATCCATCCATTGTTTCTTTGTGGAAGCACAGTGTTAGGCTAGGCGTGCTGTGAGAGAGCTTACAAAGGTCCAAAGACATCCAAAAAGGGTGGACTTTTCTGTAGTCATATTGGTGTCGGGGTGTCTTTATTTTTTTTATATTTTTGTTTTTGTTTTTTAACTTGGGAGACTTTTCTGGCTGGTGTTGACAGTGCAGATATAGACCTTCCTTGAGGCAGGGGCCTGGGCAGGTAAACTTTTGAAGCTGGATGCTCTAAGGGTCTAGGATGCAGTGTCTAGGCCTTTTCTCAACACAGATGGCCACAAAGCCTCCTCACCAACCCTCCTCTGACCTGACCTGTTTTCTTGTTTAAAACATCAGGACTTCTGAGGATTGGAAGGGCCCACACCATACCGCATCATGGTGAAGAATTCGTCCTTGGAGAGGAAGCCATTCTCATCCAGGTCATACATGGTAAACATCAGGCGGGACTTATCTTCTGGGGAGCCTGGGAATAGGAAAGGGATGCAGGTCACCTTCCTGTTGAAAGACTCCTGGTTCCCTGATGGCCCACCACCTTCCAGCCCCTACCTTTCATGAAGACCACCAGGATGTCCAGGAACTCCCGGAAGGACAGGTAGCCATTGCCATCCTTATCAGCCAGAGAGAACATGGACTCCACAAACATGTCCTGGGGCTTGAGGCCCAGGGACTCGGCAAACTCAGCCCTGCTCAGCTCGCACGTCAGGGCCTCCCGCACTTTCTGGGATGAGTCCAGGGGCAGAGTCCCTGCCTCCGCCTGGTTGATGTCCAGCACCTGCACTTGGGCAGCAGCAGAGGGAGAAAAATGAGGTGAGGCCTTGGGTAGAAGCAGTTCAGTGACCCTTTACACCTCCCCAAAATCCAAATCAGAAAGGTCGAGGCCTGGTGGCTGCTCCTGATCCTTAGCTACACTGACTGGAGCCTGTGCTCTCCTATAGAGGGGATGAATGGAATCTCTAGCAGCTGGCCCATTTCTCCCTGGACCCAAAGAACCAAGAGTTTTATGCAGTAGGAATGGTGCTGGGGTGGGGAAGGGGAGAGTAAGGAGAGGGGCAAAGTTGGGAAATGCAAAGTGAAAGAACTTACACTGGGGACAGAAGATGTAGTAGACACAGTGGACAGGCAGGAAGGAGCTAGGGCTATGCTCTCTTGCCAACTCAGATAGGGCTGCCATGTACCTATGATTTGGTTTCTACCTGTTGTGCAAAGAGTTTAAAAGTCATATGGAATTACCATTTGTTAAGTGTCTACGATGTACCGAGCACTTAGGCTAAACACTGTACATAAAACAATGTTTTTCAAACATTAGAGTGCATCAGAATCAGGGCTTAAAACACAGACGGCTGGGCCTCACCCCCAGAGTTCCTGATTTAGTCTGTCTAGGGAGGGGCCTAGAATTTATGTTTCTAGGCCAGGTGTGGTGGCCCACGCCTGTAATCCTAGTACTCTGGGAGGCTGAGGTGGGAGGATCGCTTGAGGTCAGGAGTTTGAGACCAGCCTGAGCAAGAGCAAGACCTCATCTCTACTAAAAATAGAAAAATTAGCTGGGTGTCATGGTGCATGCCTGTAGTCCCAGTTACTTGGGAGGCTGAGGCAGGAGGATCGCTTGAGCCCAGGAGTTTGAGGTTGCTGTGAGCTAGGCTGACACCACAGCACTCTAGCCTGGGTGACAGAGTGAGACTCTGTCTCAAAAAAAAAAAGAACAATTTATATTTCTAACAAGTTCCCAGGTGAAGCCAATGCTCTGGGTCCAGGGGCCAATCTTTGAGAACCACTCATGTAGACTATCTCACTGAACACCCAGGACAATGCAATGGGATGGGTACAATTTTAATCACTGTTTTATAGATGAGGAAATGGAGATACAAAGCAGAGACGATGTGACTTGCCTAAGGTCACACAGCTAAGTAAGTGGCAAAGCCAGGATTCAAACAAGGCTGTGTGTCTCCAGGCCACAGAGTGGAAGCTTAAGTTCACCCACTGGGGGTTCTCTCCAGCCCAGGTTTCCTCTATCCCCTGGGCCGGGCCCATCTCTAAAAGGCACAGGTTATGGCACCTGAGCAAAAAGGTGTCTGAAGAAGATCTCCAGGATGCGTCCCCGCTGCTGCTTGGTCACAGCCTTCCTGAATAGCTCCTTCTCGCCCATCTCAGCCACATGGAGGCCTGGAGCCCAGCCCTTCAGTTGCTGCACAAAGATGCCTCGCTCCTCTTCTGAGTTAAATAGCAGCACCTGGTTGGGAGGAAGGCTGCTGTTCAGCCTCCCCTCAAAGGACCTTGGGGTGAGGGAAGGAGAAAAGAGCTGCCCTCCACCTCTGTCCATCCTGGCTGGGGCCAGGTGAGTGGCCTGAAGGGTTCAGGGTGAGTCTGGGGGCCTCTGAAAGGAGTCCCTTGCCCCAGCAGCAGCCTTCACAGGTAAGCTGTGCAGCTGAGGGCAGGGTGGCCTGAAAGCGCTCACTCATGAGAGGGGAGGTGCAAGAGGGCAGCCCAGGCAGGGGGACAGGGTGAGCCGCACCAGGTCATATTCCTTGGGGATCTTGAGCAGCAGCATGCGGCAGCCTCGGTTGCTGGACAGGATGAGGTTGACCTGTTGCGAGGGCCGCAGCTGGACCGTGCGGAGCACAGTGAGACACCTGTCCAGGACCTGCAGCCTGTCTGGGAACAGCTGGATGCTGACAGGGTAGTTCCTTTCCTTGGGGCCTGGCCACTCCATCGCTGGGGAAGGGAAGATTGGGCACAGTGGTTCAGCAGAAGTCCCCAGGCCCTCACCCTCCAGCCAGTTCCACTCAGTCTGAGCAGGCGCCCTGAAGCCTGGCTTTCTCCCAGGGTCACCATTGCCCCCCCTCCTCCCACCAGCCCCATCTCACCTGACATTCCGTCTTTGGCTGCTTCCTTCTTCATACTCTCTTTGCCTTTCTTTTGTAGTTTCTTGCGCTCTCGTCCCCGGAGATGGGCCACCACCCCAGAGAAAAGCAGACTCACTGAAGGGGATCAGAGGGGGCTGATGGGCAGGGAGCCCCTCACCTGCAGCTTCACTGAGGCCTGGGCTGCCGCCCCTTGCCTGCACAAGCCTCCCTGCACCCAGCCTCAAACTGCACCAGGAGCTAGCCCTGCAGGCCAGCAGGTAATGCCAGGCAGGGCTAGTCTGTGGGAGACTGAAGAGAGATGGGGGATGAAGAGCTCACCTAACGGAAAGCAGCAGAGGGCCACGATGGTGATGCCAAAGCCAGGACCGCTGCCCTCGAAGAAGTCGAGCACGATAAGGGGCACACAGGGGGGCAAGCCTTCAGTTGTGAGCTGCCGGGGCTGGGGGCAGGGTGCACCTGCAGGGGAGTGCACAGAAGACCTCAGAGTCTGAAGATCCCACTCCTTGGCCAGGCCTCCCTCCCCTCCATCCTTCCCAGGCCCACTTCCCTGGAGCTTGTTCCCCTCAAAAAGTCCCCTTCCATATCCCGTCTCTTAGCATCCCCCCCGCTTGACCAGAGGGTGCAGCCTGTGTGCCAGTTCAGTCCCTACTGTGGGAGCCAGCCTAACTCGGGCCTCCCTGCAGAAGGTGCCTGGCTCCCTGGACAGCACCGAGTGATCCTTCTCTGGCCACTGCCACTTATGTTCTCCCAGGCCATTCACCTTCATGCCAGACAAAGACATTGGGCTGCAGGGCACTGGCGTTGATGTCAGTGACAGCTACCAGCACGTCCCGCAGGGTGGTATTTCTGATTTCCGCAATCTCCTCCTTGGAGAACAGCCTAAGATGGGGAAAGGTAGGAGATGTTGGGATTGGAAGGGGATGCAGTCCTCCAGCAATCCTAGGCCCAAGGACCCAGATGAGAAAAGAGATCCAGAGGGATTGGGGAGGGGTAGTGAGGATGGGCAGAGAATCAAGGGCCCCTTGGGTCTGTCTAAGGCCAGACCGAGGGTCTGGGCCTGGGCCGAGGTGGAGTCTGAGGTGGGGGCAGGGGCCCGGGCAGCGGCCCAGGCAGGCCTCACCCATTCCTGGTGTTCTCAAACCAATAACGGTCACCATCCCGTAGCCGCACAAACTGATCGAGGACAATGGTGCTGAACAGGGGTCCAGGGTCCCCATGGCTCTCCAGGAGCCCCCCCAGGAGCAGCTCCAGCCGGGACAGGTCCTGGTTATACAAGGCGGCTGTGGCCTCCAGCACCTGGGGCACCACAGGAAGCAAGGAGTGACTCTGTGTGTGTGTGTGTGTGTGTGTGTGTGTGTGTGTGTGTCTTGGCGTTGGTGAAGGCAGCCACTGCTGCCCCATCCCTCAGACATAGGACCCCAGCAGCTATTGCTCAAGCCTGGTCTCTTCTTCCTAGAAAGCCCCCCTCAGGGAGTGACAAGTCTGGTGGAAGGACCAGTGTGTCCCTACACATGGTGAGACCATTATGAGGTATCTGAGGACTATATCCTGTGACCATCTCTACCCAGACTGCCTGGCCTCAATGACTATCAGCTTCAGAGGTACCCAACCCATGGGGTGGGATGCTGCAGGAATAGGACAATGGCACCCAACCCAGGGGCCACCCTGCAGGAATGGTAAAAGGTAGTTGTTAGGAACATACTCTGGAGTCAGATGGCTGAATTTAAATCCTGCCTCTACAATTTATCAACTGTGTCATCAGTAAAATGGGGACAATGACAGTATCTATCTTATAACATTATGTAGATTAAGTCAACATATGCAAAGGATTTGGAGCAGTATTATCAAAGAAAAGCTTTAGCTGCTATTATTATCATTACTGTTCCTGACCTGGGGGTCCGCATTAGGGTTGAGATCACTCCAGTTCTTTGGGGTCTTGAGCCCCAGTGCCAGCAGGGCCTGGCTGTAGCTGGGCAGCCCCATATCTCGGCCACGTTGGATGCTGTTGGCTATGTAGTCTGTGCGGGAGAACTTGCCAGGACCAGGCCAGTAATCTGAGGAGGAGAGAAGACCAGGCTCAGTCCTCCCAACCCTTGTTTGCCCTGAAGCCTTGCATCCAGCTGTTGGCACTGTAGCCCTTCCCTCCTCCGGCCCCCAGCACTCCTCTACATGAGACCTGCACCCCATATTGACCTTGTCTTGGTGTGGAGCCAATGTCACCCTGTGTGATCAGGGGCAGTTTTTTTGATAAGATACTTCCTCTAGTACTCAAGGTTGTTCTAGTCACCAAGCAGTAAATTCCCTGTCCTATGCCTCCCTAACTTCAAGACAGGGCTGGATGAAAACCTTTAGACACCTAACAAAGCACCAGAGAGATTGTGGTGCCATCCCCACCCTCCCAACACACACCATACTCAGACATAGTTAATTTGAAATAAAAGTAACACAAAACTGTAAATTAAGCAAAAAGAAAAAAATCATTTTCTTCTAATGGCTACCTTAAGTCTGTGTGTGTACCTGTGTTCCTGCATCTTGAGTAACCCAGGTCTGCCTGTTGATTAACCTGGAAGGATCCCTGCGTTCCCTGGCCTCTGGACCCCAGGATTTCTGGCTCTGAACTCACCCCTCAGATCTTCGACCACTATCCTGTCTTCCAGCTCCGAAATCTGGGAGGCCATTCCCAGCAGCAGCTGAGTCACCTCCTGGGTGCTGTTCAGATTGGGGTTCTAGAAGTAAACATACTCAGTATAGGCTCTAGGGTCCCCACCCAGATCTCAGTCCCTCTCAGGCTGGACCACTGCAGCACCTCAGGACAAAGGGTCCTTGGCCAGGGCCAGACTCTCTTGAGCTGTTGTCCCCAGATAATTTTCTCAGTGCTTCATCTCCCACCAACCTGGAGCAGCAAAACCCCCAAACCAGAATGGTTGCTTTTCCCAGCCTGGGTGAAGAGACTGCCCTTGCCTATCATCCCCTGAGGCTGACCCCAGTCTGACCTCCCGAATCCAGTAGCTGTTGCAGACCCTGAGAGCAGGGGAGCTGCCAAAACTCCTGTTCAGGACCTTCCGGAAATGACAGCTGGCATTTCTGAAATGAAGAATCAAGGATGTGGTGAGAGAATTCAGGGAAGAAGCTAAGCCAGGTTGAGTAAAGGACTCAGTGGGGGATGACTAGGATTAAAGGTAGCCCATGAACTTCTTGGACATAGCGCAGATTTGGCAAGGTGTGTTTCTTGAAGATAGGGTGAGCTCTTAGTCTACATAGGGTGGGGGGGAAAGGAGGGAGAAGGATGACCCAGCTGCTGTACAAATCCTACACTCAGCAACCGAAGTTCAGCTATTAAGAAAGAGGGAGAGATTTCCCTACTAAGACCAAACCTTTTACCCCAGGGTCACAGTTTCAAGCAAATTCTGCTCCCGTTTCCCAGTGAAACATGGAGGTATGCAAAAGGCCCCAGGCCCCGTTGCTCCCTCTGCACTTCTGCCAGTGTGCTGTGAGCCTCCCACCACCAGCCCCTCCCGCACCTCATGTAGACGCCAGGGGGCACCATGGTGGAGAGGAACTGCTCAGAGGCCACCACGAACTCCGGGGAGATGCTGGGGTCCAGAAATGGCCGGTACCCTGGGGGAAGGGGAGAAGACAGGACAGAATTTAGCCTTTAAACCACCCAACCTACTCCCCACTGCACCCCTAAAAAACCCTCCCGCAAGCCCTCGCGTCCTCCCTGCCCATCCGCGCACCTGCGTACGCCGGGGGCGTTTTCGTTCTCGGCAGGAAGCTGGGCAGCCACTCGTACAGAGCGATGTTCTGAGGGTCAGAGACAGGGGAGCGGGAGGCGCACGTTGGAGCCGGGGGCCTCCATGGATCTGAGTCCGAGGAAGACTCGGGTGCAGAGACGAGGAGCAGGCGCGGGTGGGGGGTGGGTCACCGCAGAAGCACCTTCAACAGGAGCGGCGAGGCCTGTCCCCCTTAGGAACCAGGCGATTTCGGGGGGCGGGGGAGGTAGCTGAATAATAATCGCAGGCACAATCTCCCGCGGGAAGGGCGCTTGCCTCCTTACCCTTTACAGGGGCTTTTCCTAGACCTTAGCTCTCTGGGGAGGGGCTGCTGGGGGAGGTCGTCCGAGGAGGGGAGCTCTGCGGGAGAGCGAGTGTCCTGTGGACCTGCAGGTGTGGGGGGTCGTGGGTGCGGGGGGCCGGCTGACCTGGTAGGTGGCGATGACCCTCTTGCGCGCGTGCTGGAACAGCTCCTCGTCCCCCCAGTCAGGGTGCTGGCGGGCCAGCCTCCGAGCGCACAGGTTGTGGTAGCGGAACCAGAGCAGGCCCAGCGCCTGCAGGAAGGGCTCCCGGTTCCCTCTCTGGGCCCCGAACGCTGCACCGGCGTGGGGACACAGGGTAGGAGATGAGCGGCGGCGTGACCAGGGGGAACCCAACGACGCAGAGCCCCGGCCAGCACCCCCGCGTCCCCGTCCTGTCCCCGCGGCCTCACCGTACAGCCCCTGGGGCCCGCGCTGGCCGGTGGCGGGGTCAGGTGCGGCCCACATGAACAGGGGGCTCTGCGAGTGTGGAGGGAAGGCGGGGTCGGGCCCCGACGCCAGCTGTCCCCCGGAGAAGCTCCGCAGCGCGTCGCTCCAGGAGTGTGAGGAGCCATAGATGGAGCTGCCGTCCAGCCAGCCCGTCACTTCGTTGGTCTGTGGGGACACGCGGCGGGTGAGCGGGGCCAGGGGGAGCAGAGGCAGGTAAGTGAAGGGCGGGCCAGGCGGTGTCCGCGGGTGGGGAGTGGGCGCTGCCGGGCCCGGAGTCCGGGGTCGCACCAGCCTCGGGTCCGCCCCCTTCCCGCCGCCTGCCTGGCCTCACCAGGTCCCGCGGGTTGCTGGGGCTGCGTCCGGTCTCGGGGTGCCAGCGGCTCCTCTGGTAGGGCAGCACCACGTCCCCGCTGTGGTCGGGGTCGAACACGGGGTCTCCGGGCGGGATGCGGATGTTGAGGAACTCGGCAGGGCAGCCGGGCGTTTCCACGCTCACCAGGTCCGAGAGCACGTGGTAGCCTGCGGGCGCGGGGTGCAAAAAAGGTGAGCGAACTGTCGGCCTCGCGCCCTCCTCACAGTCAGGGTAGCCTCCAGTGTTCTCAGGAGCCAAAAGACAGAGTCCACTGCAAGCTTCGCCACTAGCTCTGCGGCTTAGCCTCAGTAAGCCTCAATTTTCTAACCTGCAAAGTGAGAATATAGTACCCTTCCCATCCAATTCAAAATGCTGGTGTGAGAATAAAAGTAATATAATTAATGTAAGGGCTCCCCAAACCAGTGCTCCTCCCTCTCTGCAGGGGAGGATGGTTATAATCATATGGTGAGGGCGGTGGCTGGGGGCACTCAGTGCCCAAGAGCTATAATAGAAATCCAGTGGTACGCCTGGGTTTGGAGTGAGGTGTAAGAGGTGTAAGAGAAAGATTAGGGGAGCAAATATCCCTGTATAGACACCCCAAATCCCTCCGAGATGAAAGCAGGCTTGAAGGGCTGCTTACAGGGGAGGAAGTGGTCGGGAGTCTCGGACAGGTCTCCTGTGGACTTGCAGGGGGGCCTCAGGGCGCCCTCTCCAGGCGCTGAGCCCAGCGCCAGGTCAACCCCACTAGTCTCCCCTTTTGCCCTCACCAAAGAAGACCCCCAGCACGGTGCGGTTGCGGAGCGATGCCAGCCCGGCTACACCCTGTGTGGCGGCGTTGCTGAGACGGCGCGGGTTGGGGAGCACCGGCTCCTCCAGAGCCTCATACACTCCGTCCGCGTAGTTGGCTGGTACAAGGCGCTGCAGCCGGCAGCCTGCGTGAGGCAGAAAGCCGGGCTCTGTTGGAACACTCCATCCCCAAGAAATCCCCAGACCTCTCCCTGCTCCTCCCTCAAACCTCCCACCTGTCCCCCCACCACCGACAGAACCCTTTCTCCAGAGGATCTCTTGGCCCCAGGAGTGTGCAAGATTGCGCTGCGTAGGCGGCTGGCCAGCTGGCCTCGGTTCTCTGCTCCAGCTCCCTTCGCGAGCCGCCGCCTCCTCCCGCCGGGGCCCCAGGACGCACCGGTAGCGCCACGCTCGTGGTGCCTCAGGTTGTTGAACCAACCGTCATAGCGCTGCACTTCCCAGGGCAATGAGAGTGCGTCCTCACCGCCTGTGGGCACGGAGAGCGGCCCGGATCAGCACTAGCCTCCCAGCGACCCTCCCACATGGGACGGCCTCGGCCTGCCCTTCCCCAGCTCGCCGAGCGCCCCCATTCGACCCAAGGGGTGATACCTGCGCCAAGTGGAGGCTGCGCAGGGAGGTTTCCCATCCCACTGAACTGCGCGGTGATCTGATCCGATCTTCCAGCCTCTGGGAGCGACTCGCCTACACCTCTCCCTTCCCCCACTCCCCCGGGATATTGCGTGACACCCCGCAGCTGAGGGAACCTGATACTTACCTGCCGGACCTAGGGAACCAGTCAGCAGAGCTCCCAGGAGCACCAGTGCCTCTGGTCTTGCGCGGAGCATGCCGGCCCTGCAGCCTGGGCGGCGGTGGGTGGCATGTGAGGGACACAGAACCTAAGTTTCCTCCCCATATACATCCTTACAGCCAGCACTGGAGGAAGAGCGCCAACTATTTCCACTTCTGGAGCGGAGCTGTTAGAAGCATCACCGAGGACCCGCATCGCACGCCATTCTTTCCCGGACTATTGGCAGCTCTGGTGGCATTGACACTGTTCCCCATCCTCCACCCCATCGGAGAGCTAACCCCGACCACAGGAACCCACTGGGCACCAATCCTCTGGGGCATGTCAGTCCCTAGCAGGACCGGTCCAGTCTCCCAGAGCTAGCCGAATGCCTCAAATCCCTCACCCCCCTCCCAAATCTCTCAGGCACTGCTTCTCCTAGAGGAGGTATGGAAGGGAAAGAGGCTACCGAGCTGGGAGCCTGGGGCCCGCAGGCCTCCCTTGCAACCCCCCTCTGCCCCCCGTAATAAACGCCTATGCATGATGGGCGAGGACTGGGAAGATCAGGCCCCAAACTCCAGTCCAACCTGGTTTAGGGCTCCCGTCGGGCTCAGACGTATTCTTTCCTCTGAAAATCTTTGCTTCTCTGCTCTGCTTCCTGCCTCCTCCTCACTCCCCCCGCTCCACCGATCCTCAGTCTCCCCGGCTACACTCTCACCCTCTTCTCTGGGTTCTCAGTCTCGCCGCCGCGCAGGTGTCCGCTCGGCACAGACTCGCGTCTGGTGTGAGCATCTGGACCCGGGGCTCACCTTCCTGCTGTGGAGGCTGGGCTCTTATTTACATAACGTCCTCCGCCCCTCATTTGCATGACCTCTTGTAGCTCCTATCCCGCTGCTGGGCTGGGACACCGCGCAGCGAGCTCCCTACACTGCTATAAAAGGGGTCCGCGTCCCGCGCAACTTCCGAACTCAGCACGAACCCGCAGAGCTGAGAAAGTAACTGGCCACAGCCAGTGAGAAATAATTCCGCTTGCTGGCTAACCCAACTCTGTCCGGCCCGACCCGCTACGCTTCCTTGGCGAGGAGCCGCGGGGCTCAGACTTGACCAGCCCACTCGGTCCCAGTCTTGACCCGAAAAGACGCCAAAGAGGCACTCTCCCGCCTCCAGGCAGCCCCAATTTACCTGCTCGCTCACCTACGCGCTGCGCTCGGCGGGCTTGCGGCATGACCCTGTGGAACGGCGTGCTGCCTTTTTACCCCCAGCCCCGGCATGCCGCAGGCTTCTGCATCCAGCTGCTTATCGTCATTCTGGTGTTCTCGACCTTGGCCGCCAGCTTTCTGCTCATCTTGCCTGGGATCCGTGGCCACTCGGTAAGGAGGTCCTAGTAACTCGGTTGGGGGATGAGAGGTCACATGGTCAGTTTCCCTCTCAGGCGACCCAGGACAGGTAAGACTGCTCAAGGGCCTCCAGGAATAGTCAAACTGAGGCTCAGGTAGAGCAAATTCAGGAGTATGGTGCAGCAAGCACCCCTTCCCAAGGATAGGGAGAGCTCCCCATCCAAGACATCCTGGAGAGGGACCCTAGCTGGGTCATTTGGAAGGCTGCTGCAGAGAGTAGACACCCAGTCCAGTAATCCTAGGACCCATTCTAAGCTTCGTGTGTTGCCAGGGCCTCCCACCTCTCCCCCAACTGCAGCTGCACTCTCATCCTGTCCCCTGGGTGATGGCCGTTAGGCCAAGAGGACAGATGTCAGCAGCTGAGACTGCTGTTTCCCCTTTGTGCTGGGTGAGACTCATGTGTATGGGTGTCCCATCCTAAGGGCTCATAGAATCTCACACAGGATTTGAAATTGTAGCAGACTGGGTGCATTTCCTTAGACTTTCCCCCTCCCCCAGAATCCAGATTGTGCATTTTTCAAGTCTGGGAGGACCCAGCCTTTCCACCTCTTGATCTGTGTTGGTTTCCCCGGGAACTGGTGCACCTAGAAGTATCTGCATTCCCACCTCCTCTACTTGGAGACCAGGCCCTGGGGCCTCCCTCTTCTGAGGGAGGTGATCCCTGCCTGCCTAGCACTTCTGGACTCACTGAGCCTCACCAAGCAGTGACTGGACCAGGAGGTGGGGCCAGGACAAGGCGCCAGACAGCTTGGGGAGTGAAGGTGGCTAGAGAGTGCCAGGCAGAGGCACCTCAGGCTATAGGGTGGACAGGGAAATAGGGCTGGGGAGACGGAAGCACATGGCCAGAAAACATCAGAAATGCCAGTAGCCCAGAAGGACTGCAAGAAAGGCATGCCTGACATCAGCCTCAAAGGTCAGGAATGTAACTAAAGATCAAGGTGGAGTGGGGTCAAGGAAGGTGTTGGGGACTCTGGTTGGGCAGTACCCAGGCCTGACCCAGGTGCCTGTTTCTGCAGCGCTGGTTCTGGTTGGTGAGAGTTCTTCTCAGTCTGTTTATAGGCGCAGAAATTGTAGGTGAGTGTGTGGTGCAGCCCATGGGGAGAGGACCTGGGGTGAAAAAGGAGGTGGGTAGAGGGCACCTGGGAAAATGGGGAACTGGAGTTGATTTCCTCTTCCCATTCTCCAGCTCTCTCTAGTGTCCATTCTTTGGCCCTTACCATGCAACCACATTGGATCTCTAGATCCCCATGTCTCTGCACAGTGTCCCACTGCCCCCATCACCAATCTCCTAATCCATCTTCCCACCCCCCCGTGTGCCTTTCCCACAGCGGTGCACTTCAGCACAGATTGGTTCGTGGGTACAGTGAGCACCAACACATCCTACAAAGCCTTCAGTGCTGAGCGCATTAGAGCCCACGTCGGTCTGCGCGTGGGCCTGGTGGGCGTTAATATTACACTCACAGGTGAGGGGGCTGGGGCGAAGTGAATTCCTGGGACTGGCAGATCCCACGGTTAGGGGAGTGTGGCAAGGGTAGCTGGAGGACCTCTCACACTCTACAGGCCCAAATAGCTTTTGGTCCTCATGGATTTGCATTTCCCCCAACAACCCCCAAACATTTCTCCCGCCGTGGGCGCCGCACCCCCTTTCTTATCTGAATCCCCTTACTTTCGAGGTCCCTGGCGGGACGCAGCCCCATGACCCCGCTGCTCTCCGCAGGGATCCCAGTGCATCAGCTGAACGAGACCATTGATTACAATGAGCAGTTCACCTGGCGTCTGGACGAGGACTACGCAGCGGAGTACGTGCACGCGCTGGAGAAGGGGTTGCCGGACCCAGTGCTCTACCTGGCGGAAAAGTTCACACCGAGTAGCCCTTGCGGGCTGTACCACAAGTACCACCTGGCCGGACACTATGCCTCGGCTATGCTGTGGTAAGCGCTGGAGGAAGGCTGTGTGTGTGTGTGTGTGTGTGTGTGTGTGTGTGTGTGTGTGTGCGCGCGTGCGTGTGCGTGTGTGTGTGTGTGTGCGCGCGCGCGCGCCGGGGGTGTGGAAAAGGGAGGATGGAGGCCTCTGAGGGGATCTGCAACTACAGCGCGAGCCGCTCGGGGTGAGACTTCTAGCCTCGCGGGGCAGACGGTCACGAGATCCGCACAGACAGTCGGAATCCGAAGACACCCAGCAACCGCCCTCCGCTTCTCCCTCGGAGGATTCCCGGTGCCTCCGCCGTCCCAGCTTTGGCTCTGGGGTAGGGACGTAGGGATCGAGGCTCTGGGAACCCGGACGGACTGGGAGAATAGAGCTCACGGCTGGCGGGTCCCCCTCCCGCCCCCGCAGGGTGGCGTTCTGCTTCTGGGTCCTCTCCAACGGGCTGCTCTCCATGCCAGCCCCGCTGTACGGGGGCTTGGCGCTGCTGGTCACCGGCGCCTTCGCGCTCTTCGCGGTCTTCGCCTTCGCCTCCATCTCCACCGTGCCGCTCTGCCCGCTCCACCTCGGCGCCTCTGTGCTCACCGCTCACTACGGCGCCGCTTTTTGGGTCACGCTGGCAACCGGTGAGGACCGAGGGGATGGGCCCGGGGCGGCTGGGAGTGGGGACAGGATTTATAACGGGTGTGCGCTTTCCAGTTTGCAAGATGACTTCATATCTATTATCTAATTCGCCCCTCGCAAGAGTTCCTAGAAGCAGACAGGCATTGTTATGCCCATTTTAGAGATGAGAAGAGGGGTGTTAGAAGGGTTTGGTATCTTGCTCCAGTTAGCACGGCAACCTGTGTGTCATGTCATCTAGATCAGAGTTCTTTCTGCGAGGTGTGTGCGTGTGTCTGGGGAGCAGACGCGAGGGAAAGGCATGAAAAGACGCAGGAGGGCAGGCCGGGTTCTGGCCTGGCGCCCTGACTCTCCCCTCCCCTGCTTCTTTCCGTCCGCGCTGCCACAGGCATCTTGTGCCTCCTCCTTGGAGGGGCCGTGGTGAGTCTCCACTACGCTCGGCCCAGCGCTCTTCGAGCCTTTCTGGACCAAAGCCTGAAGGACAGCAGTAGCCAGGGGAGAGAGGGCTCGCCTCTCGTCCTGAAGAACCCGCTGCACAAGCAGTCTGCGCTCCCCGATTTACAGGTCACCACTAACCTGTGATGGGGACCCAACTCCGGACTCCTTCCCCGCCTGGCGTCCTCTGGGAGGCAGGGCACTGTGCTGCTGGCCGGGAAAGAAAGGGAAAGAAAGGTGGGGCGGCCTCTGACCTGCAGTACGCACCAGGGAAAGTCTCCTGGGGCGAGATGTAAATAAAGTTTTTTTCTTTTTTAAAAAGAGTTGTTGGGTTTTTTTTTCCAATAATTTTCATGGCTTCTCTGAGCTCTTGGGGACACACGGCCCCTAGAGAGGCTTCACTGGGCTGGAGACACCCTAGAACACTATCCTCCTGCCAAAGGGGATTCTCTGTCTGGAGTAACCCAGGAAACGTTCTGGGGCAGGGATGCTCTCTAGTGAGACCTGAGGGAAACCGACCCGACCGAGCCAGCATCTTCCTGAGCCGCCCCAGGGGGATGGTCCCTTGCAGTGACCTGGCAGGTCATCCTCCCACCCCAATCCCAATCTGCTGGCCCCGCTCAGTGGGCTGGCAAGGAACAGCGTTTTGGACCAAGGAATTGATTCACTAATTCTTCCCATCTGGCTTCTTTTTGGGTGGTGTCTGAGTGCCAAGGTAGATGTCAGTAAGGCATAAAAAATATAAATCCTGAGGTTCTTTTCTTAGGTCCTTGGCAAGTGCTACAATCTTATTTAGTAAATTTGGGAAATGAAGCTCAAAGAGAATGTGGAATAGCTGGTTAATATTTGACCAGGGATGAAAAGTTTGGTCTCTTCTCCCTTCCAGTTCTGTCTTTCATTGTCCCAAGAGGTCACAAAAGCTGTAAAGGAAGAACGAAAGGGACCCAGGAAAAAGGAAAACAAGAGCTCCTGAGAGATGAGAGGGATCTTACGAGAATCACACTGTAGTCCCTCCCCGCACCCACATCCATTTTGTGGGTGAAGTTGGGTTTCAGTGAACGGCACATCGAAGAGGCCAAGCACCAAGAAGAGGCAGGGTTGCTGTGCAGAAATAGGACAGTGCTGCTTGCTCTTACCACGGAAGCAGAGTTTATGGGCAGGCGCAACATCTCTTCAGCACCGTAGGGCATTTTGTTTTGTTTTTTAATATCAGTACGTAGAGCCTCATTTTTCTACTCCACCCCTACTGGTTGGTGCTGCAGTCTGATACAACCCACACTGAGGGCAGTTCTGATGGTTTTATGGGGCTCCAATGAGGTCTGGAGCCAAACTGGAAGTCCAGATGGCTGCTGGAGAGGAATATTATAGGGCACAGTCAGGCTCTCTGGGATGCTCCTCCTTACAGCTTGGCTTGGAAGAGACAGCCTCTGACAGAGGAATGTCCTGGGGCTCAGGACTCTCAGCCATGGACCGGTAGCGGGGGCTCAGTCCCCCTTCCACAGGACTCCACTCCAGCAGGTAGTCCTCCTCCACACTCTGGTTGAAGAAAGCCTTCACCCTGTGGGGCTGCATCCTGTGGGCCACGACCATAGCCAGGCCCAGCAGCACACACAGCAGTCCTGGTGACAAGGGCAACAGATGTCCTGCCTTAGTGCTAGTAACACCCTCCCAAGGACATGTTTGCTTAGGAGCATCACAACAACTCTAAGGGAGGCCTGGAGTCCCTGCTTCAGGGCAACTTGGGCTCAGAGAGGTGACTGGCTTAGGGTCATGTGGCTGGTGTGACTCTGTTGCCCTGAGTTTCCAGACTCCAAGCCCAGTGCTCTTTCAGTTATAGCCCAGAAGAGAGAAAAAGAGAGAGAGAGAGAGAGAGAGAGAGAGAGAGAGAGAGAGAGAGAGAGAGAACACATACTCCGAAACTGGAGAAAAGAGAAGCCCTGGGGGGAGAACAGGGCACAGAGGAGGAGGCATGAAGGGTAGGCAGGGTGGGATAGTAGAGGAGAATAAAACTGCAGGATAATTTAGGGTTGTGTGAGGCAGGGACGGGGAAGGAGTCTAGGAATGGGGACGCAGAGAAGGGTGTTTGGGGGAAGTGGGAGGGGACATGGGGATGGAAGATTTAGGAAGGAGCTGGGTGAAGAGAGTTAGGGGACAAGGGAACATGTCAGCGACCAAGAAAAGATACAGGGCAGTGGGCATCTAGGAAGAGCGAGGAGAAGTGGCGCTGAAAGAATCAGTGCCAGGAGATAAGGGATACAAAAGGGATGGGGCTTTAAAGAGGGCAAGGGCATTCTGATCCCCAGAAGCAGACTCTCGACACCACCAACACAATGGCCCCTGGCCCACCCTCCCTGGCCCTGAGGCCTCTGGTGCTTGTCTTTGGGTCTGGATCTCACCTGTGATCAGTGTGATCCAGAAGGCAGGCCCATGGCGAGTATGCAGCACAGCAGTGCCCAGACGCAGGGGACAGGGTGGAGTGAGCGATGTGCCCACAGAGAAGAAGAGCAGTGCCAACAGTTGGAAGATGCCCGTGGCCAGCAGCATGTGGCCACCATAGACCAGCACAGGCATGGAGAACATCACATTGGCCAGCAGCCAGCAGAGGAATGCCACCCTGAAGAGCCAGGACCCAGTGAGGACTGGCCCAGGCACCTCTGCTTGCTGGCAAAGCTGGAGGGGCCAGGTGGAGGCTCAGGGACCCAAGGATGACCCAAAGATGTGAGGTAGGGATTCCTGCCCGTGGGCTTCCCAACCCAGCACTGTGGTGACTGGTGCCAGCCATCCCACCCCCGGATATCCACATGAGTGGAAGAGAGATGAATGGAAACCCTGTTCCTGAGTCTAAGCCACCAGGGCCTCCCCCCACATCCGCTTCCCACCCTCACCACAATGTGGCTGAGGCATAGTGTCCTGCCAGACGGAACTGGCGGTGTAGGCCGCATGGGCTTCTCGGGGTGAACTTCTCAGCCAGGTAGAGCACAGGGTCTGGCAGCCCCTTCTCCAGTGCCTTGGCATACTCCTCAGCATAGTTCTTGCCCAGGCGCCAGGTGAACTCCTCATTGTAATTGATGGTCTCGTTTAGCTGCTGCACGGGGGTCCCTGGGGAACAGGGCATCTGTGCTCAGCAGGAACCCAGGGGCCAGAGTGGAGCATTTGCCTGGGTATAAGCCTAGTCACTCACACTGAGCAGAGGGACCAGAGCTGGTCTCAGTTGTGAGAAGGCAGCTTCCAAGCCTCTGAACTTCCCTTTCTACCATCCCTCCAACACCCACACATTCTCCTAGCCCCAGTGCCAGGCATCCTGTAGCTCTTTGGATCACACCAAACATAGATCCTAAAGAAAGCAGAGCCTCCCCCTCCCTCCCAGGTAAGAGCCCTCCCTCACCTGTGATCGTGATGTTGACTCCTCCCAGTCCAACCTGCAACCCAATATCAGCGCTGATCCACGCAGAACTGAAGGCCTTGTATGATGTGTTGGTGCTGACCTGCCCCACAGACCACTCAGAACTGAAATTCACAGCTAGGGTTGGGGAGTTAGACATATGGGAACTTAGAGAGGTCTGGGCATTACTGGGTTAGAGTCAGAAGGAGAGCTATGAGGGGTCCATGCCTGTTCTGGTTATAATCATATACTCATTAAGTAGCCCAGGGTCTGGCTCATGGGAATTCTGCCAACCACATGTGTAGGACGCGTAGATGGATTAGAGTCCAAGATTTCCCGTGGTCACACTCTGTTTACCCTTCCCTCCCTTTGTCCCCATTTTAGGGTGAGTCACTCAGGGACTTGGGGGAGAAAGCATTAACATAAACCATGTTGAGCAAATGCAGATAGCTCAGCACAGAGACCTTCTGTCTCTCCTGTTTGCCTAATCACCCAAGCGAAGCAAGCAGCCCTCCCCCATTCTCTCTGCTTCTCTCTCCAGAGGTCTTCTGCCCACAGACATTCATTTTGACCTGCTTTCCCCTGAATAATAAGGTTAGGAAGGTTGAGGTGATGTTTCCTGAGGCCACATCCCTCTGGGCAAGTATAAGAGTGAGGGGCTAAGGCCACAGCGTGAGGGGTTAAGGTGGTCCTGAAGCCACCTGAAGCTGTGGGGAAACAAGAGGAGGAGAGGTGAGTTGCTAAGGGGAGTCGATGGGATGGAGGCGGCCGCCCAAGCCAGCTGCACTTCACACTCACCCAGGATCACAGCCCCGATGAATAAGCTGGTCACCACCCGCAGCAGCCAGAACAGCCTCTGAGTCATAGGGTGGGTGGGTTCAGTAAGGAGCACCCTCCTTTCCAAGTCCACCCTTCCTCTTTCCAGACTTGGGGGAGGGCAGGGACTCTAAAACTGAGATCACTTGGTCAATTGAAATCAGAGTGTCTGGCACATAATACATGCTCGATACTATCTGTTGAATCAGAGAGTGGGGTGCTCTCTGCCTGGCGTGGTGGTGATGCTTTCTCAGCACCAGAGTCTCTTTTCTGAATCTGGACCCCTCACGTTGAGACTGAGGTCTCTCTGGGGCTGGGGTCTCCAGGGCTGGGTTTTTTTCTCACCATCTTGCCCCGAATGCCAGGCAGGATGATGATGAAGGTGACCAGTGCAGTCAAAAAGATGATGATGATGACGGCCAAGGTCGTGTCCATTGGGAAGGTTGGCTTGGGGCCAGCATAGAAGGGGAATGTGCGTCCAAAAGCAGCCATTTTGGTGGGAGGGTGCCGGGGGAGGCAATGCTGTACAAGAACAATAGATATTGAGTGCCCTCTAAGTACCTTGCACTGTTCTTGGTGCTGGAGAAATAACAAAGGATAAGCCACACAAGGCCCCTCTTCTCTGGACCTCACGTTTTGTGCCTCCCCAGACTCCACTGTTGCTGCCATCCCAGTGCCCCTCAGCCGGCCCTCTCCCCATCTGCCGGCTGTGGCAGACGAGGGTGTTGGCAACAGTCTCTGTTGCCCCATGCTCCCTTCCTAACCCCAGGTTCCCTAAATCAGTGCCACCACCCTTGAGGCTTCTCTGTTTCTTCTGGGACTGTCTCAATAAATATAATTCTCTTTTATCTCCTTCAGGCCTCTGTCTGCAAGATGACAGAACATAAGAAGTGTTATGTTTACTGTCGAGTGATGGCATGAGGGTGAAAGATGGTACAGATTATAAAAAGACTGGCTTTCTTCCTCCGTCCCCAAAGGAACTAAGGCCAGACAGCTCTGCTAAATGTATAATTCAACTACATCATCAGAGGACTGGTTTCCAGGCCTGGCAGTGTCCACATTGGTCTGTCCAGCTTTCTCAAGCACTCTGGCTCCTGTTCTGGCAACTGCAGAACAGTGCAGCTTAAGTGAGTTCACCTGAATGAAAAAGCTCTGAAGGGGTCCCTACCCTGTGCCAGGCCCAGTGCTGGGGCCAGATGTCTTGCTGTTCCACACATCATCAACATTGGCCCTTCTCTTTGTTTCAAATTCTCAGGCCACGTTTCAGCTCAAATCCTGGCTGTGGAATAGGTGTCTCTCTTCTCTCCAATTCTGCAAATTCATCCTCCTGGCTCTATCTCAGTCTTGCCTGCCTTCTTCACCACTTTTTTTTTTTTTTGAGACAGAGTCTCAAAAAGGGTGCTCTGTCACCCTTGCTAGAGTGCCATGCCGTGGCATCATCATAGCTCACTGCAACCTCAAACTCCTGGGCTCAAGCAATCCCCCTACCTCAGCCTCCCAAGTAGCTGGGACTATATAGACTTGTGCCACCATGCCCGGCTAATTTTTCTATTTTTTGTAGAGATGGGTCTCACTCTTGCTCAGGCTGGTCTCGAACTTCTGACCTTAAGCAGTCCTCCCAGCTTGGCCTCCCAGAGTGCTAAGATTATAGGCATGAGCCACCAGGCCCACCTTCTTTACCATTTTTATCATCAGTTATCCCCTTCCCCTTCATAACTTTTCAGCTTCTCTTTCTCTGCCAGCTCCTTCTCCCAAGAATACGCTTAAATTTCTCCCATCCTAAAAACACAGTGACAAGGAACATTCCCCCTTGATTTTCCAGGTCCTCTCCAGCTACCATCCTATCCTAATCACTCCCCTTCACAGCCAGGCTCTTTGAAAGAATAGCTTATATTGGCATTTCCACTGCCTATCTCTTCATCCTATTGCAATCTGACTTTTCCTCATGCCTGCCTTCTTTATTAGGTCACTAAAAGTTAAACCCAAAGGGAAGCTTTCACTTTTCACCCATCTTGACCTCCCTGTGGTATCGATACTACAGACCACACCCTCTTTCTTATAACTTTTTCTCCTTGGACTTCCATGACACCATGTTCTCCTGGGTCTCTTGCCTTTGGCCATCCCTTGCTGGCTCTTCTGCTAGTTCTTTTTCCTCTCTATTAAACGTTTATGCTCCTCAGGAGTCTGTCTTGGCTTTTTTCCTTTAGCACTATTCAAGATTTCCAGGCAATCTCATCCATTCCCATGGCTAATTGTTCTCAAATGTCTCCAGGTAGACCTTCTGTGCCCTCCAAACTCAAGAGGGCCAAACACCCCATGGACATTTTCACTTGGATGTTCCCTTCATGCCTCAAATTTAACAGGCTCCAAACAGAACTTACTGTCTCTACCCTGTTTTTTATTGTTGTCTTTGTCTCTTTGACAGCATCACCACTTGGTCAATCAAATAAGCCAGAGACCTGGACCATCTTACCTCCTAAGTCTTTCTTGAAACTATCCTTGCATTTCCTCCCCCACTACTTCTGCCCTAACTCAGCCTCATCCTCTCTTGCCTGGTTCCAGAATAATTTTGCTAGTAAGCGAATATAACCATTTCACTTCTCTGCTCTGGGTAAAATCTAATCTTCTTTCTATCACATACAAAGTGCTTTGTAGTCTGGGCCCACCTATCTCTGCATCTCCATCTTTTACCCAGCCTAATCTACAGCCATACTGAGCTACTCGCCTCTGCCTGAATCTGACATGCTCTTTCAAGCCTTCATGCCTTTGTGTATGCTATTTCCTCTGCCTGGAAAGCTCTCACACCCTTGGCAAACGTCTTTCCACTCTTCAAGTCTCAGCTCGTGTTACCTCCTCTGTGAAATTTCTTCTGACGCCACTGGTGCCAATATTCCCACCTCAAACATTCTGATGGCATGTTAAACATACCTCCAAGATCACAAAAATTACATTTATTCTAATTGTCTGACCATCTGTCTCTCCATTGGACTCTAATCTCTTGAGGGCAGGGTCTTTATCTTTCCATCCCCTGCATGTGGAATATTCTAGTGAGGTTCTGGATCAAATGAATGAATATGAATGAGTTCTTCTCCCCACAGGTGGCTTCTTCTGATTTTGCACACAAGAGGGAGCTCTGCTCCTTCATTGCCCTACACTATGCTTATAATTCAACATTAACTGAGTAGCACCAACAGAGGGCTAAGGACTGAGCAAGAAGGGATTTGATGATCCCTGTCAATTTTTAGTGATTTCACAAAATTTTCAGAAATCCTTTTCCAATAGTTGGACTCTCTAAAACTGCAAAGACCTAAGCATGAATGTTCATGTTTAATTGAATCTAAAACATACATTTCAATCCAAGCTGAAGACAAGTAACTAAGAATTTTTGGATTAAATTATTTTGTAAACTATGTTATAGTGATATTTATTTTAAAGTAGATGTTTATTGATCTAAGAATTTTTTATTTATGACACCTAGACAGAAGCCATTATTCATGAAAGGCTGTAAGAGCAAGGGCTATAAAATGTAAAATATCTTGGCTAGGAAAATAAAGCAAAGTCGTTAATAGCAAGAACACATGTTATATGCTGGAATTTCAAAAACAAATATTTCTAATATGTGCAAATAATAAATAATGTAATATATTTTTGTCAGGGTCACATATTAGTATTTCTGCATTTATTTTAAAGGGAGTTTATAAAAATTTTATAAGAATGGCTCATCTCTGTTAAAATATACTTCAAAGAAACATTAACAAAGGGCTTTCTGTATCTTAAGTACGAAAGAGTAATGTTAACTTATTTCCAATTCTCCAAAATATTTATTTAAGATGACTAAAACAAAAGTTGGTGAAAAAATTTGCTTTGCTTAATTTCTTCTTGTACAATTTCATGACTTCAGTTTTCCTTAATCTGCATTGCCTAATTTAAAGTTAATTTTTCATGACCCTAATCCTAATTTGGTCTTCAGTATTAAGCTAACAGGGCTCCAGCATGAAGAGGTGGGACTGAGGTTAAAGGTCCCCAGATTCAGCAATCCTGCTTTTCCTACACAGCCTTGTGTGTCCCTCAGGAACACCTCTCTCCCTGGCTTGACAAGTAGCATCTGACAGTAGAATTAGTTCTCATATGAGAAAATCTCATGTCAATATGAATTTGACCCACTTCTCTCTTAGCTCACCACCATGACTGGTATATAATATCCATAATGTATATTGATATAAATAAGCAGACACAAGATACAGTCAAACATACACCTACAAACTTATATAACCAGAGACACAGACACAAGAAGGAAGCACCCAGACTGTCATTCTCAGTAATACAGACACCTATATTACTCCATCAGAGGCCCCTGTGACGAAATTAGGGGCTTTCTCTAATTTGAGATCTTCCTTTCTCACCTGACATGGGGAAGAGGGAGCACCATCTCCCTTTTTGGACTCCCTTTAAACTCCGAAGGCTTTCCTCATGCCCAGTTGTATTATAGACACAGTTACCCGATCCTTGTCTGCCATAGGATGAAGTGGAGTTTCTGTGTGTGTATGAGGGTTGGGTAAAATATGTAAAGTTACAATCTTTAAGAAAACTTAGGCCAGGCATGGTGGCCCACACCTGTAATCCTAGCACTCTGGGAGGCCGAGGTGGGAGGATCGCTTGAGCTCAGGAGTTCGAGACCAGCCTGAGCAAGAGCGAGACCCCATCTCTACAAAAAAAAAAAAAAGAAAGAAAGAAAACTTAGTCTTGTACAAGCTCCAGCCTTCACCATTCTGTTATGTGCTTTGTTAATGCTCTGTGGCCTCTCTCACAGCTTGACAGGACTTTCTTTCTGAAGTCTTGCCCTTGTCCACCTCCCCCATCTGTTGGAACTACTAATTTTCTACAAAGGGGAAGTAAGTGACATGCCTGGAGCTGCCAAGAGCTCTGATTGGTGATACATTGCTACCAGAATGTGATGGTTTATTTCTCTGATTGGGGTAGACACCATTAAAAGTTTACAGCTGTGGCTGGCTAAGGGGACCCTGTCAGGAACTCCTGTCCTAGACTTAATCTCTTCCAGGAAGGGATGTGTGTGTGTGTGTGTGTGTGTGTGTGCGTGTGTGTATTTCTTGGTGTGTCTGTATGTGAATGTGTATGTGTATTGTTGCACAAAAGTAGTAGTTAAGTGGAGAAATCGAACAAAATCTGGAAAATGGGGTTGGGGCAGGATTCCCCAATAGGGCTGATGTGGGTAAGGAGCTCAGGGGTGCAGAATCATGCAAACTATCCAGACTCCAGTTCAATATCTGTAAATCTTGTGGCGTTTATGGGCTTGTGAGATTTTCCTTGCCGCCCTAGTTTCTTACCAAACTTTCTCTTTGAAGAACTCCCACTTGATCAGAACTTGGTTTGGGGGGAAGCAGGAAGTGCGCCCCTAGGGGCCGAGGCGGGAGCAGCACTTCAAGACTCCCTCCCAACCCACCTAGATCGCACAGACCGCAGCAGCCGCAACCCCCGCTACCCACACCCGGACCACCGTTCCCTACCTTCGCCTCTTGCAAACAATGTGTGCGTAGCAGCCTGCGCAGCTACCTCCTCCTATGGAACCTCACTCGCAGCGATCCCAGGGCTGGGAGTAGGGAAGGAACAAGATCCCGACGTTCTGTCAACAAACGCGCGCGCCCTTTCTCTCGGCGAGGCTCCCTTCCAACCCCTACTCCTCTCCTAACTCACTTAAGGACCAGGCAGTGACCGGACAAACCAGGTCTTGGGTGTTTCCCTGTCACCCATTTTGAGCCATTCCCACCCTTCTCAGACTGCATCCGAGGCTCTGCGGCGCTGCCTCCCTCTCCCTGCTGCGGACAGAGCAGAGTCAGGGGCTCTGGGACCCTACTACCCCGTGCCTGGCCCCATCCGCAGCCATCGCCCCAACCCTTCCTTCTCTAGCCACCCCTCCCCAAACCCCGCCCCATGCCTAGCACCCCAGGCAGCTCCCGCGCAAACCTAACCATTCTGTTCCGGGTCTGACGGGGAGCGGGCGCGGCTCGCAGGGCGGTGAGACCCCCGAGATCTCACGGGGGTACCCGGAGGGAGGATTACCACAGGCTCTTAGAGGGTTTTAGGATGGATGGATGACTTGCTTTGACGCCTGGCCTGATCTGTGGGCGGGCTTTGGCCGAAGCTCTTGGTCTTAGAGCCCAGACCCGACGGTGGAGAGGATCTGGGGAGAGTATCCCCTCCTCACACCCTCTCCGTCTCCCACCCTCTCCCCAGCCCCATCAGACGTGTGGAACAGACTTGCCCTTTTCGCTGCCCACATGGCCGCACTAGCGGAGCCCTCGCTACTACGGACGGGACATCTCCACCTGAGCCCTGCCAGCCCACGCCGTCTCACCTTGCGCACTGGCGCTCGGGTCCCCTGGAAGCACCTCGGCGGGTCCCCGAGCGCCAACTTCTATCCCGCCCCACTCCGCCCTGCCCCGCCTTAAAGCCCGACGCACCATCCCCTCCTCACCCCCAGCCCCGCCCGCTCTGGCGCAGAGCTGGAGAGGCAGCCAGACTGGAGCAGGCTCCGCGCGCCCAGCTGGGAGCCAGGCCGGAGCCAAGCCGCAGGCTCGCGCTCTAGGGACGCCGCGGACGCAGGTCAGATCTGGGAGGGCTTCTCCCCACCCGCGGGCCTGGGTGCTCCGGGGGAGGGAGCTCCAAGTGCAGGGCCGGGTCAGAGGAGCCCCAGCTCCGCCACGTTTTTGAGAGAAGGAGAATTCTAACCGTCATGCACCTCCGATCTTATCCTAAGGCTAATATAGGCCCTGTTAGGGCCTGTCCTTTGTGCTATCAAGGTTTTGGGTAACTGGGTTCTTGGGGACCTGGGAATGTTGGGTGGCCTAGTTTGCTTGGGCCTGGGGGATCTCCTCCTGGCACCAGCACAACATGCCAGGGAGGAAACTTAGGGCTTTCAGGATCCAGGCTTTCCCCCCTCAGTCCTCCCTTGGGACCAGGTTGGACCCTCTATGGCTTTGACTCATCCTTCCCCCACCCTAGGTCCACCAGAGTCGCCACTCTGGGAGTTGACTCTAGAAAAGTGGCCATTTGGGGTAAGAACCAGGGAGGCCTGTGTTATCTCCCGCTGGTTCTGTCGCTGCCTGGGGCTTCACTGCCCTGTCCTGGGGTTATATCTTCCTTTCAAGGTTGTTGGGAAGTTACTGCTCCATGTTGCTGTATAAGTCGTGAAGGGGCTACCCACCCACAAGGAGAGGTTAGTAAGCATGCCCACCTTCCTCTTCAGGTTGTTTCCACAGCCTGGCCTGAAAGTCCAGCACATGTCCTTAGAGGCTGGGTAGTACATTAAGTATTTGGAGCCCAGGATCCTGAAGACACAGTGGTAGGGGGAAAGGGACAGGACAACTTGGATTAGGGAAGGACCACTATGGCCACTTCAGTATGTCCATCCTTGCAGCCTTAACTATCCAGAGCCCAGCTCTTGACACACTATCAAAGGCCAGCATCTAGACAGACTTTGTAGGATGGAGTGGGTAGAACACTGAGCTTTTGAATTACAGCAAGGCCTAGGTTTTCTCATTTGTTTCATGGGAGATGGGGAGTGGGGACGAAGTCACTTTCTGGGTTCTCTCCTCTGTGACTAGAAAACTAATCCAGGAGCCCTGAGGTTTGGCCAGAGATGAGGCTTTCCCTGAGCCCCCTACTTCCTCTACCCCACCCCTAATCTCCAGGTTGCCTTTAGGAGGTGCTCACTAGCCTTAGGTACTCCTTGTGCTACTCAGGAATCCCAGCCTGAGTCCCCTGCTGCCCCTGTTTCCCTTTTGTCCCTGGGTGGTTTGTTGGCCTGGGGAGATAACGCAGGAAGCCAGCACCGAAACACTTGAGCACCTGGCACTGCATCCCTTCTGCATCCATCCAGAGGAGCCAAGCTCCAGCCTAACCTTTCTACAGCGCAGTTGCAAAACACCTGTCACTTTTCTTGCTTTGAATGCAACCAGAGTCTCACATCTGATTCTGGCAACCACTCTGGGAAGTAAACAGTTCAGGCATATTTACTCCCATAGGCAGAAGAGGAAATGAAGGATCAGATCAGCTAAGATCCCACAGTGGACTGGCAGCAGCAGTGAGACCTCAGTCCGGTGTCCTGATTCCCAAGCAAGGCTCTGTCCAAGGAACACACTCTGTGGGAAGCTGGGCCAAAGCAAGATTTTCCAACTAATCTTAGAAGGTAGAGTTCATTAAGGCGGGGATTTCTGTTTGTTTTGTTCATCACTAAATCTACAGTGCCTAGGTCGGTGCCTGGTACATAGTGGGTGCTCATCAAGTATTTGTTGGGCGAATGAAAAAATCTTAGGAGAGAGTGAGTCTCTTGCACTTTGCTACCCACTATGGCCTTGGCCCAGCCCCAGGCTTTGATTCATAGAGACCTGCAGAGGCCTTGGCCTGATTCTTCTGCACAGCTGGGATTCATTCTCTGTCCTGTCTTTTTCTAGAGTCTCCAGTTTGAGGTATTTGAACACCCAAGTCCCTATTATCATTTTCGTCATGGGCTTCTGCCTGGCTCTGGCATGGACACTCCTGGTTGGTCCATGGACCCCCATGGGTGAGTACATATTGGAGGAGAAGCATGACTAAGAGCAGAGAACCCAGCATCCTCTGGGCTCCCCCAAGGATAGGATCTGTGTTATATTCATCTCTGTATCCTTAGTCCCTGGCTAACACAGTGTCTGGATATGACAGGTGCTCATTTCTAGATTTTGAATAAATGAATGGATAATGCATTGCAAATTATCCCCAAATACACAAAATTAGGGAGTCTTCAACTATTGTGCCAACACTTCCTATCTCATTCCTTACACTTTGGAGGCCCTTTCTTTCTCCTCTATCGTCTCTCTTTTTCTTTAAAGTAAAGGCCCCTGACTCAAAATAGAAAAACATTGATTAGATGCACAAGACAACAAAGGATCTTGGGGTCAGATTGGACCCAATATTTCAATTTTTCACCAATGTTTTAAAACGATATGATCAAAACCAAAAATAATATAATCCACAGAGTTTCATCTTACTATCTTCAGCTTTGGACGGTTTCTTACTAGAATCTGAAGCTGCTCTCTGTAGTCTGGGTCTCTGGGGAGGGAAGTGGGCTTAAAGTGCCACAGTTAGGTTAAAAAGAGCAAGTGCTGGATCATTAGGGCTGGGAAATACAAAAGCAGGAAGCAGAGAAAACCTCTGGAATGATCTGTCCTGGCTGGAGGTAACAGGATGGTGGCACAGCCCCTGTAGCTTCTCCCTTGCCAGAGCTGCTCACATTCACAATCCTTCCAGCTCTCTTCTTTCCTTGGCCTTTGGTTTCCTTTTCTCCCCCAGCTCTTGCCTCTTATTCCCAAGGAGCACCCTTCCTGTACCCTCCCCAAAGGCTCCCTCCTTCTTGTGCCACCAGTTCATCTTATTTTAGAGATCACCTGTATGTGGTTGCCCTAATCTCTGCTCCAAGTCCTGGACCCTTAGCTGGATTCTTTGCTCAAACATCAGGATGAGACATTTTCCCTCCCAGGTGAATGTGTGTGTGTGTGTGTGTCTGTGTGAGTGCATGTGGGGCAAGAGTAGCTCACATCCTGTCATTGGTCTGGGTGGGGAGACAATTAGAGGACTAGGTCTCCCTCTGGCTGGCAAGAGTCCTTTTCTTTCCTCTGTTCTCCGAGGTGAACAGAGAGGAGCCTCAGAGCTATAGCCTCCTAGTCTGGGGAAAAGAATCTGGCTGGTCATTTGACCTACTGACCAGAAAGATCTGTGTTCCACCCCTGATTCTGGGCCCTTCCCTCTGTCCCCCCAGTTCCTTAGCTCTTCCCCTGACAGCTGAGTGCTTCCTCCTGGATGCCAGTTTTTGGAAAGTACAGTAGGGAAAAGAGGAGGAATTATATGGGGGACAAGATGCCCCCAAGGGGGAAGGGGCAAGGTCATTCACATGACCACTCCAGTCTCTGGTCCTACCCAAGAAACTAGAAAAAAACTAGAGTAGCAATACCACATCCCTGCTTGGGTTCTGCTTAGCCAGAGAGGGCTAGGCCCCTCTCCACACTGCCCCTGCCCAGGGATGGGTCACAGAATGACATGTCCTTCCCAGGTATGGGGTGTGGCTGGCTCTTGCTCTGTGTGGTATCTTAGGGCTGGGGGTGGTTCCTGTCCTGCTGTGTCCTCCTAGGGAGCTGAGGTGTGAGGGGAGTAGAAGGCTCCTGCATCCCTTTCCCCAGCGCTACTGTTCTCTTTTTTCCTCCAGTCCCTGCTTTCTCTTTGAGGCCATTTGTCAACACACACTGCACCCTGCTACACTACTTTAGTACTCCCTGTCATGTCTCCCCCACTGAGCAGTTTAAAGATTGGGCTTGAGTTTGAACATCACTTTGTCCTGGTTTCTCCCTCTGCACCCTGCCACCCATACCTGTGCTGGGTGTCCACTTTCTGCCGCTCCATGTGCCAGGCTCAAAGGACACATACCCTGCAAGCCCCTCTGTCCTCTGACATGCTGACTTGTCTAGCCGCCTCCTTCCCTCTGTTCTCACACAGGAGCTCAGAACCCCATTTCATGGGAGGTGCAGCGATTTGATGGGTGGTACAACAACCTCATGGAACACAGATGGGGCAGCAAAGGTAGGTGAAAGCCAAGTGGAGACAGAGTCCCAGGCCAGGATGGTACCCACCGCTGGGGGGCAAGAGCTGGCAGTTACCAGGAAAGGTCATCCATTTCCAAGGTTGTAGGATCTATGGCGTGGAGGGAACCCTGGGAGGCAGGAAGTCAAGAATGTCCCCTGAGGATTCCTCCTTATCCTGTCTTCTCCTACCCCAGGCTCTCGGCTGCAGCGCCTGGTTCCAGCCAGCTATGCAGATGGTGTGTACCAGCCCTTGGGAGAACCCTACCTGCCCAACCCCCGAGACCTTAGCAACATTGCCATGAGGGGCCCTGCAGGGCAGGCCTCCCTGCAAAACCGCACAGTGTTGGGGGTCTTCTTTGGTGAGGATCTCAACTCTTGGGGGGGAAGCCAGTGGGTCAGCTGGATACCGCTATGTCGAGGAGGGGGCAAGGAATGAGGAGAGAAGTGATGGAGGGTCTGAGACAGGAGGGTGAGAGTTGGAGGAGGAGGCAATAGGGTAGGGTGGGGTA